GCTGCCAAATCGCGATGAATAATGCAGTGCTTTTAGAGCATGAAATCAAGCAGCTACGTGTGGCCAATCAACGTCAAAAACGCCAGCAAGAGACAGCTAGATCCTATATTGCTACCGGGGGGATTTTAACTGCTGAAGAAGGCCAGCAGCTTGCTCAGCAAGCTGCAGAATTGCAGGCAGAGGTAGCTGACCAAGCTGATATGCAGCCTAGAAGACGTGCACCACCGCGGTGCAGCAACTGCAATATTCAAGGTTGTACTAGGGTCAGCTGCCCTAGTAAATAGGCAATTATTTTACATGTAAATAGCTTCAATTTAGGGGTGGTGTGGTGAGATAATTAGATATCTAATAATAATGGCGTTGGTGGGTGTTTCGCTCGGTGATCTGTTTCGCTCGGTGATTGATTACGTTAGTAAATCTCGCTGACTCAGCACAGGTCACCTGACCGACCTCCACCAACCTCCCTCCCGCATCCGCATCCGCATCGCATCGCATCGCATCGCATCCATCATCTCGACATTGAAGCCACCAATCGAGCCATTGAGCCATTGTTCGCGGCGTGTGCTGCAACCGCTACCGCAACCATGGCTGGCCCTAGCAAGTGTACGTATCTTCCTATATTCCAGTGTTTGTTCCGGAACGAACGAATTGAACTGCCGAACTGACGAATGCAACAAACGAATACAGCTCTGATCCTCGACCCGGCTCTTCAGAAATACTACGGTAGATAGCCACCTCCTAAATCTCCCCGATCAATCTTCCAATGATTCTGTCCCGCCCCGCCCACTCTCATGATATGACGTGATATCTGACACCGTCATCTGACCGCAGAACTCAACGCCAACCGCTACAAGTACTTCCGCTGGACGCCGCGCACCGCTTGGCTGACCTTTGTCTATGCCGCTCTGATCCCGGGGGCGCTGGGCGTGGTTGCGTACAAGTATGATGTATGTACAAGCCAACGTGCTGGACTTACTTGCACAGGATCTTTGATTAACGGTGGATGTTGCAGGGCAAATTCGACATGAGAGGCAAGAGGAGAGGCGATACGATTGTCGAGTGGTAGATACGGATACCGGATACAGATGGCTACAGATGGATAGATGGGTACATACCTGTCGTGGTTCGTTACATAGGGAATCAAATTGAGAGAGAAAGGAAAATACTGTGCGATATCGATATCGATATAGATAATAATACCCAGGATGAATGGACCATCGAGCGATTGAGCGATTGAATGGAGATGTTTTATTTTTTTCCCCCCCTTTCCCCTACCGCGAGAGATATCTTGATTGATGTTCGTAAGTCAGTCGTCTATCAGCCCAGACACAAGGGAATGAATGAATGAATATATTCGGCTGTCAGTCCAGTCTGTCTACCGTCAGGTCAGGTCAGGTCAGGTCAGGTCTGGTCTGGTCTGGCGATGTTGACCCCTTCATTCGACAGGCTGATGTGTCTCTCTTTTATTGTCCTGCGCGTTTTTTATATGCCTACGTCTATGGATATACCAGCTAGTCGGTTCAGTTTCTTTCACTTTTCCTTATCTTCTATCTATCTATCTAAGATAGGTAGGTATTAGGTAGTAGGCAGATAGGTAAATTGATTAAATCAAATCAAATCCGTTAGGTAGGTAGGTAGTAATACACAGTGCAGTGCAGTACAGTACAGTTCATTTTTTCCCCCCATTCATGCGGACCTGCTCAGCATGTGTCTGTCTTTTTGTTTTTGGACAATTCCTTTGTCTTTCCCCCCCGTATCTGGATAGTAGTACGTCCATGCAAGCAAGCAGGCAGTAGTCAAGGAAGCAGTATTGACTGGTCGGGTGCTCTGTAATGTAATGTCCCTGATGTCCACCTTCCCAGGTAGGTAGGTAGGTAGGTACCTAGTTAAGGTACTAGACGTCTTCCTGCCTGCTTGCCTGCCTGCCTTCCAGTCTTCTAGTCGATTCATTGATCCATTAATTGATTGAGTGAGATTGGCCGTCAACACATGCTGGAAATATTAATGTCTGCATCATTCAATTCCATCGATGCTTCCAGGGTAGATAGTAGATAGGAAGGTATAGATAAATAGATTAAGAGATCAGTCCTGCCCTTGCAACTGGGACAGTATGACGCTCAAGGCGTATTGTAGTATCTTTTGTTTTTCTTTTCGTTTTCTGTTGCATTGCTCGAGAGCTTGCGCATCAGATTCAGGTGTCGAGATCGTTGTCATTTCATCGTCGGACGGACGGTTTGCGTCGTTTGTTCGTTCCCCTTTGGCTTCCTTGGCTTGGTGTCGTGAGCTATGTCGAGCGTTCGTCGTTATTTGCGTGTCGTCAACTAAAATTAGATATTCTGGTTGTAACAGTGGGCCACAAATCAAGAAAAGTGCCCAGAAAGTCATAAAACTCGGCTCATCCACGTCCATTGTTGGAAGAGGTCATTTCGCATGTTAATACGGCCCCCGTCTCCTTCCCCATCCCCGATCTCCCTCAGGCAACCTCTCGCCCCTCTTCCACTCACCACTGGGGATGCCATTCCCAGGCCCCCGGCCCGACCCTCGACGACCACTGTATCCGTTCTCTCGCGACGGCCCCGGTCCCCCAAACGCTCTCATGCCTCCTCCCAGCGCAGAGCTGGGGACCGTGCCCCGTCCCGAGATAGGCGGCGCCACCGATCCGTCTTCGAGCGGAGGCAGGATTGCGCAGTCGATGTAGTCCCCGATCACGAATCGCGCGTCGGCAAGCGTCTTGTCCGCGTCGTCCTCCTGGAAGCGGCGTCTTCCCGGGGCGCCGTTCTCACGGTCGTTATTATCCTCTTCTTTCCGATCGCTCGCTCCGAGGATCACGCTGCCCATGTCCTTGCTCAGGTAGCGGCCTCGGCCATCGGCTGCGGCCCCGCGCGTGTCCGGGTAGATGAGGCGGAAACAGAGACGCGTTCCGGCAGCCGGGTCGGGCAATTGCGAGGGCAGCGCCGTGCTCAGCAGCTGAGAGAGTTCGCGCAGCGTACACGAGTGCCAGGTGTAGATCTCCAGGTGCGCGGGGAGAGGAGGCGCGTGGTTACCGGGCGAAGGGATGGGGAAGTCGGATAGGTGGTGGAAGGCATTCTGGCGATAGAAGAGCTTCAAGTGGAAGGGCGTTGTCGACTGGCGATCAATGACATTTCTCTTGTTGTCTGCCATGGTAGTAGGAGTGCTGCGACGCGGTTGACGTCTGTCGAATTGATTCCGTAGACCGGATGAATAGGGTGTGCCAGTGATGCGGTTGATCCGTTCACAGCGTTTTCCAGGGGAACATGGATGCTTTGCTTGAGCCTGATGAGTTGAAAACGACTCAAGGGTGTTGTTGTGTCTGGTTGTCTCGTGCCTTGCGGAGGAGAGCTTGCAGGGCCAGCTGTTAAGCTGGTTCCGCTCCGTACACTGACAGGCTTGCAACCTTCGACTTCAACAATCCACCCAACAGACCACACCCCGGACAACCACCTCTACCCACGCAGGATACCCATTAAACACGCAACAAATACTCTTACTGAGCGAGGAGAACATCGCTTGAGGGCTTGGATTTCGATTGGATTGGTCTACGGCTGCTGGGCAGCGCCTCACCCCACCACCATGGACTTCGCATCGCTCATGGCCAAGGAGATCTCCAAGGCCAAAGAGTCCTTCCCATCGACATCGACACAGGGCGACGGTTCGGAGAAGAAATATGTCCGTCGCGCCGAGCTGGAAGCTGCCCGGGTGGCGGCCTACCAGGAAGAGCAGGAGAGGCTGCAGCGAGAACGCGAGGAGCGCGCCGCCCAGAAACGCAAGCTGGAGGAGGAAGAGGCGGAGCGCAAACGGGAACGCGAGGAGAAGAAACGCCGTCTAGCAGAAGAGTCGAGGAAACGGCGCGAGGCTGAGGAGGAGGCCCGCGAGCGAGAACGCAGGAAGAAGCTCGGTCTGCCGGAGCTGCCTCCGCGCAGCGACAGCACCACCAGCCGGGAGGAGACGCCGGCGGCGGAGAACGAGGAGGACATGGATGAAGAGGAGGTCATCCGGAAGCTGCGCGAGATGGGCGAGCCAGCGCGGTTGTTTGGCGAGAGCCACAAGGGCCGGGTGCGGCGGTATCGCCGGCTGCTCAAGCGGTCCCAGACACCGCAGCTGTCGAAGGGACCGATCCCGACGACGTTGGAGCTGGTCCCGGAGAAGGACATGAAGGTGCCACCCAAGCCGCCCAAGGACCGCGAGGAACGCCGATACCTGTTCTGCCAACTGGCGTCGTACTTCAACATGGTGCTGGAGGAGTGGGAGCAGGCGATGGCGAAGCGCGACATGAGCGTCCAGCAAAGCTTCCAGGGGCGGCAGGCGTACAACGCCATGGTGCAGTCGCGCGAGAACATGAAGCCGCTGTTTGCCAAGTTTGAGCGAGGGGACCTGGAGGAGAATGTGCTGGAGGCGATAGTCGAGATCGTCCACTGCGCGCAGGAGCGGCGCTACGTCGATGCCAACGACGGCTATCTCCGGCTGAGTATCGGCAAGGCGTAAGTTTGCAATCGTCCCCCTTTTAGAGGCATTACTGACACTCCCCAGCGCATGGCCCATCGGTGTCACCATGGTCGGTATCCACGAACGGTCTGCCCGCGAGAAACTGCACGAGAACGACGTGAACAAGGCGCATATCATGTCCGACGAGATCACCCGCAAGTACCTGCAGAGCATCAAGCGGTGTCTTAGCTTTGCGCAGGTGCGGTGGCCGCCGGATGACCCGTTGCAGTTGATGGGATGAAGTATTCGATTCATGTTATTATTTACATTTACATTTACGTTTTGTCATGGTTAGGGTATAGCCGTGGTCGTGATTCGATAATGATATCGTGTACTATAGAATCAAAAATTCGACGAATGATGAATGACCAACATGAGCTGTCGAGGCAGAAATGTTAAACATATAAACGAAGGTCAGGAAGTCTGGAATCTACAGCATAAAGACAGAAAAACAGGATTATGCTTCTATGCACATACATGTACATACAGTACATACAAATCAAATATCCTACCATCCCTTCCCTTCCCTTCCTTTCCTTTCCTATAGTAAGTGAGCCGTTCTATGGCCACAAAGATAGCTAGCTAGACAGATAGATAAATAGACAAGCACACATGCTACATACAAGACGGAAGAAAACAAGTATCTAGTTTAGTTTAGTTTATGCGCATAAGAACCAAAAAAAAAACCTCCGCCCATGGTGTGTAGTTGTAGTATATATTATCAATATCAGACAGACGTATGAATCGAAGTCTTTTTTTGTTGGTTATCGCATCAGCAGATTGAGTATTGCTGTCCACCAGCTGCTGAGCCGTGGCTTGCTGGTCATGCTCACGGTCATTTGCGGCATAATCGTACTGTCATTATCATTATTATTGTTGCTGCTGCTGCTGCTGCGGTGGTTCTCATCAGCAGCATCATGATTATCGTCATGATTATCGTCATCGACTGCCTTTCGGCGCTCCAGCGGCTTCTTATCAGTATCATCAGTATCATCAAACTGCTGCAGCTGCACGTCATGCTGCTTGCGCTGCTGCCCATGGCCATCCACGCCGTTCAGGAACGCCTCTGGTCCTCCTGTCGGCGTGCCCGCTGGTCGTTTGGGTATTGAGGACCCGCTGCCATTGATATTGTTATTAGTATTATCACGCTTTCCGTCTTTCGACGGAATGATTAGCCTGCTCGCCGCGTACACGCACCCGCCGTACGCGAATCGCACTAGCGAGTCCCCCGTCAAGCTGCCGATGACGAAAACGTCGCGCGCAACTTCCAGATCTTCCATCACCTTGCTGCGGAGGGTCTTTCCGGTGACGGTGGGGGCCATGTCCGGGTCCATGGCAGCGTCTACGGGACTGTCTGCTCCTCCGGAACTGCCGCTCAGCACTTCAGAGCGCAGTTCCGGGTCCAGATACTGCAGAGAGCCTCTCCGCCCAACACCGTAGGCGAGCCCGCTCACGGCCCGTGTCATCGTCGTCCCGTCCTGCAGGCGGAACCTTACGGTGGCCTGCTGTCCGTCATCGTGCACCTGGACGTCCTCGACCTCCGCGTTGGGCAAGCCCTGGTACATCTCGTCCCAGCGGCGACTGTCCAGGAACGGCGTCGATGCCAGTCGTCGGGCTTTGTGCCGCTGAGAGGAGGAGGAGGAGGCGGATGACGATGAAGAAAGCGCGGCCCGCTTCATCAAGCGGTAGATCCCGGCGTACTCCGGGTAGGCTTGCTGGTGGCAGCTCCGCAGCGGCGAGGGCCGGTGATCCGGGTCCCAGCGAAAGACATGGAGGATGGGTTGGTCGTGGGGAGCGGAGATGATCGAGTCCGCCGCGGTGAAGCCGGACCCGATGACGAGCAACGGCGCGGGCGCGGAGGAGCTCCGTTGCGCGGATGAGAGGTTCGACAGCCGGGCGAGAAGCGGCGGCGGACGGATTGCATGCGAGAAGATCCCCGTGGCCAGCACGAGGTGCTTGCAGCGGATGCCGTGGGAGCGCACATAGAAGCCGCCGTCTGCCGTCCGCTCGACGCCCTGCAGCTGCACGCCGCAGCGGAACGCGTCGTCGATGCCGGCCTCGGCCGGGTAGACACGCAGATACTCGGCCAGATCGCGCCGGGTGGGACGGGTGAAGGGCTGCAGCTCACATCCCTTGGTCTTGCGGTAGTGGTCGGCGAACGAGTAGCCCGGCAGGGAGAGCATGCCGGCGTAGCTCAGCGTCTGGATGTCCCAGCTGACGCGCACCGGATCGTTCGCCCAGAGACCCCCCGGCTGCGGAGCATCGCCCAGGACGAGGTGCGGCACCGCACGGTCCGGCTCGTAGCGCCATTCGAGGTTTGTGGTCTGGCCCAGGTCGTCTGTTTCGCCCTGGGGGAGCAGCAGGGCGTCGAGGAGGACGTTGACGGGGAGGGCCTGGGTCGAGTACGACAGGCGCGAGGCGGCGAAGTGATGGGTCAGCGCATCGAGGTCGGGACGCAGCAGGCAGGGCGCGTCCTGCAACTTGGCGTGCAGCAGATGATCGGGATGGGGAGGATTGGCGGCGTAGAAGGGGATGTGGCCGTGGAGGATGTAGGACAGGATCATGGCAGAGGGGCCATTGCCTGCATGAAGAATAGAGCGTTAGCAACCAGATTGCTCCCATTGGAACGGGATGGCGACAGTACCGATGATGATGGTGTCAGTCTCGGTGTCCGCGGCGGACAGCGGCGGAGACATGATGGATGCCCGCAGCGCGGCATGCGGGGAGGAAAAAAAAAATTCCCCTCGATAAGAGGCGGCGGTGGTCGATAAGAGCAGGAGGTCAGAATGACTGCTGAGCTGCAGCTGGCAAAGAACAATGCCTGCTCTGGCGAGAGAGAGAGAGCAGAAGCGAAGAGAAGGCCGGATCCGAGCCTGGCCCAGGCACGGTCGCGCCGCCTCATTCGGCCGCGGACAGCGTCGTGATGCCGGCGGAGGACGACAGGGCGGGGAGAATTATTAATATGAAGCTTAAGTGCTGGTTCGATCCAGTTAGTTGAGCATCGCCGAATTAGTCAGACGGTGGAGTTGGCCCTAATTTTACGGGATTAGTTTGATGCTGAAGCAGGCTGGCGAGACTGCAACTGCAGCGAGCAGGACTGCTTCAAAGAAAAGAAACCATAAGCTAATCGCTGATCGCAGTCGGCATCTACGGCAATCGTCATTGCAGGCATCCAGAGTTGCAGTTCTTGATGCCGCATCATGCAGACGTCAGGCATGCCAGCCCCGCATTCAGCATGCTCGACAGACACGAATACGAGATGTCGATGCGGAGGGCTGAGGACGACAGCTCCTGGCAACAGTCAGTACGCCCTCAGCCAGTCCAATTCCGTCCAATGCCTTGCAAACGACCATCGCATGTCTTGTCTGCATTGAACAGGAATAATGACAAACAATCCATGACGATGACTCGTGACGATAAGATTGGGGCTCCGCGCACGTGGCTAGGGTTAGACCTGTTAGGGTTTAGGGCGCGGCGGGTCAGTCGCCGCCGGGGAGATGCCATGTCGATGTCTTTGATGATCGAGCATCACGACTTCCCTTCGAAGACTGCCACCAGTCGACACGCGCTGTCCACCAAATGAAGCCATCTGCTTGATTGCTATCTCTGCTTGAACGGACGCCGCTCCGCCATGCGCCCGTCGGTTGCCAACTGACAGCCGTCATGTATCATCTTGCAAAGTCGCTCTATCTCTATGCCACCAGCAAGGAGGGTGCGTATACTTCCTTTTTACTTCTTATTCCGTATTGCTTCGCACTGTTGTCTATTCTGTACCCCGTGCCAGAGTGTTATATTCTTCTCCTCTGTATAACTAGAACTCCTGCTGACCAAGCTGTCCCAGAATACTCCGTCCTCCTCCTCGGCCTCGACAACGCCGGAAAGACGACCCTCCTCTCCCAGATCAAGGCGCTCTACCTGCCTCCCTCCGACGGCGCCCCAGCCCCGAACCCGGGCCGCACCGTGCCCACCGTCGGCCAGAACGTCGCCACCATCCCGCTGCCGGACATGTACCTGAAGATCTGGGACGTCGGCGGCCAGACCTCCATGCGCGGCCTGTGGCAGAGCTACTACGCGAGCTGTCACGCCATCATCTTCGTGGTCGACAGCACGGACGTCGGCGACGGGCTCGACGACGACTTCGCGGGGACCGGTTCCGGTTCTAACCGCGGCCGCCTGGACGAGTGTCGGCAGGTGCTCGAGTCGGTGCTGCAGAACGCCGACACGGCCGGGGTGCCGATCCTGGTGCTGGCCAACAAGCAGGACCGCGAGGACTGCGTCGAGGTGGTGCGGATCAAGGAGGGGTTTGTGCGGCAGGTCTTCGAGGGCGAGAAGGGCGGCGGCGTGCGCGACAGTCGGGTTTTGCCTGTCAGCGCGCTGCTGGGGACCGGCGTGCGCGAAGCGGTCGAATGGGTGCAGAGTCGAGTTAAATGGAACAAGGAGGGCCGGCCCCCAGTGATGCGATAGACTTGGCGATAGACTTGTTGAAATGCTCTTTTCTGTTCTGTTCTGTTCTTTTCTTTTCTTTTTTTTTTTCGGGCTTGCAGAGATGTTTGTTCTTATGATGATACCAGAGATACCAATTTTCCTCTTCCTGTTCGGATGAGACTGCATGTAATATACTAACAGAATTCATTATCTATTATACTATATCTACTCGATATAGGTCAATAAATATACAAATACCTAGCAGGAAATTGCACTGTGTACCACCTGAGAAAAAAGAAACAAAAATTAAAAGAAAGAAAGAAAATTCCCAGAACCATAAATCAACTATCGACAGACAATATCTGGTTGGTTACCTTAGCTGAGTCTGTCTGTCCGAAGGCAACGTCGGTCAGTTTGACGTCACGGCAAACACTACTCCCTCTTCACCACCGAAGCTGCTATCGCCTTCTCTGTAACGAACGACAGGGACATGTGATGAACAGAAGTGCCCTTGTTCGTCAGTTAGTTACTACTGGTCGTTTCTGACTGGAGGCAAGCAAGCTGTCTATCTTCGATCAGATAGAGCTCAGACAGACGGAGCTTTTGAGATACCCTCTGAATCCTTTATACTTCATCCTTCTTCTATACTGCATTGAACCATATATATAGATCATCATGTCACAAACCAGCAACATCGACTCCCTCAACAACAAACAGGGCCCGTTCAAGCCCTCTATCGCCCCTACCGGGCCAATGATGGACCAGGGGGTAAGTGCGAAGCAAGCTTTCCCCCCCTCCCCCTAGGATTACTTTTTCTGTCCCACGACATACTCGCTGACCGCGACTGCTCCTGCAACCGCAGCACCAACTCGGCAGCAAAAAGTCGAGCAACGACCGCGTCCCTGAATTCCACACGCAGATCCTCCCTGCAGGCTCCGCGCCCGCTAGCAGCACATACCAGCCCAACCCGATCCACGAGATCCCGTCGCAGGCGAACAACGACAACGTCCTGCGCAGCCACGGCAAGGAGAGCAAGTACACCAAGGCGGAGGACACGTTCCCGGGCGCCACGTCGGGCGACGTCCACCGGAGCATGGGCAAGCCGCTCGTCAGCGAGACCAGCGGCGAGCAGCGCCATGACGGCTCGCACGGCCGGAAGAAGCAGACTTCCGGCTACGAGACTGTCGGTATGGCCGGCAAGCCTAGCCATTCTGACCAGTCTATCGGTGACAAGCAGCTCGTTGACGAGCGGCATCTCAAGGACCAGCGCGGCATCGACCGTGAGGAGGCCCAGGGAGGACAGCGTGGTGATAAGGGCACGCTCACGGCTTCTGAGTTGCGGCCTGAGCCGGCTGAGATGGTGTCCAAAGAGGCTCCTAGGAGCCCGTAGATGGTGAATTCTAAATTCAACGCTGTATTTCTTCGTCTTCTTATCCTTCTTCAGGGGCGTTGTTTAGCCTGTGCTGCCTTGTACCATACTGACTGACACAAAAGAGATGGATTTGGAATGAAACGGAATGGATTGATTTCGATCGATCAACATTAACTATTGCATGAAACGAATCCATCGGGGGATAGGTGGGGTATCATGGAAATATCCTGTACTGTACATCAATAGACACTCAAAACAGAAAAACAATACAAACTGGAAAGTCACTCGTCAGATAACTTATGAGCTGGCCCGCACACGGTCTCGTGAGTTTCGTGTCGTGTTCTCTGCAGCATCGGGATGCGGGACTGGCTTCTTGGGCCAGCTCCGGGCGATGTCGATGTTGGCGCGCGGCCACCACATCTCCAGAAACACATACAACAAGTAGTCGATCACCACACACAAGCAGAACAGCTTCCCCGCCCAGATGCCGCATCCGTAGTATCGTTTCAGCCGGTCGATCAGCGCAAAACTGCGCGTCCGTCCCCGGCCCGCGTCCCATCCGGCCCCTGGATAATGCCCGTAGAACTCCTGCTCGCTGATGGCGCCGGAAATCCCATGATACACTCGCTCTGTCCGCCGCGCCACGTCCGTCCACGAGTACATCATCTTCACTTGGTCGTGGAACCGCTCCGTGCGCACCTTGTTGGACCGCAGCGCCGCAATTGCTTTCCCCGTCGCCTGCACGAGATCGTCCTCCTCGGGCTTCGCAAAGGTCGTCATGTGCTGGGGCAGCACCTCGGGAATGCCGCCCACACGCGTGCAGACCACGTACAGCCCGCAGCTGGCGGCCTCAACGAGCACCGTGCCAAACGCTTCCGTCAGACTCGGGTGCAGATAAATGTGACCCCGAACCATCACATCGCGCACCTCCTCGTGCCGCACGGGGCCCAGCATCTCGACCTTGTCCTGCAGCACGTTCCGTTCCAGCATCTGCTCCAGGTCAATTGCCTTGGGACCGGAGCCCGCGATGATGAACCGCACATTTGGATGAGCCGCTAATATTCGGGGGATGGCTGCAATGAGCAGGTCAGTTCCTTTGTTGTAGAACAGCCGCGAGATCACCACAATGGTGATGGTGTCGTTGGGGCCGATGACTCGCGGCGCCGGTCGCTCTGAGCTGCCGTCCGACGGGTACGACAGGGGCCGGAAGTTTTCAGCCACCACGGCGTTGGGGATGACGGACACCATTAGCGGATCGAGAGACGCTCGCAGCACCGTATTCTCCTTGCTGCACACAATCAGTGACCGAATTCGACCGCATCGACTCCTTTCACCTACCAAGTATGACTGACACAGATGACATGGTCCACATCACTGAGGGTAAACTTGAGCAGCTTGTTCGTCAAGATGGAACCTGCATCGGCAAAGCCGAACAGCGAATGGTCCGTAAACACGGTGCGCAGCCCCATGGTGCGCGCATGCAGAATCGCCTCATGGCAGAAACTGCTCAGACTGGCGTGGCCATGCACGATCTGGATCTGCTCGCGGATGACAATGTTGCGGAAGATGGGGAAGAAGGAGAAGACGGTGGGCATGGTCGATTCCCGGTAGATGACGAAGAACGGGACATGGTAGACCTTGAGTCCGTTGGTGAGGTAGCGGACCCCGGTGCGGCCCTTGTACGCATGGGTGATGATGATAACCTTGTGGCCGCGATCGATGAGTTTAGTCGACAGCTGGTAGATATGACTCTCAACCCCACCTGGCTGGGGGAAGAAGAAGTCACTGACCATGCTGCGTGCTGTCAGTCGAGGGGTCGCTCGGGGGGAGGTCCATCACTTACGCAATGTTGTACGGCATGGTGGCAGGCAGGGCTGTCCAGACGCGCTCGGACAGAGCGAGTCAGGAGCAGCATTCACTCATCCATGTCAGCGGAGCAACAAGAAGGGGAATGCCGGGCTATTGTCTGAATGAGAGTCCAGGAGCACCGCGAGATACGATGATTGCTGGCAGTGAATTAATTGATCGCCGTTGTTGGCCCAATGCAGGCGGCAGCGAAGGCGGTGTGGATTCTGCCGGACGAACTGCCGCGATCAATGGATTTTTATTTTATTGTCCCGCCAAAGAGCGACGACAGTGACGGCGAGCAAAATATTCATTCACTGCACGCGAATCCTCGAGCAAAGAAGAAAGATTGCCAGGGGTGTGGTATAAAAGGCAGTCTCGGCCAGAAGAGCCCTCTTTCCCTTCTCCTCATCCTCCTTTCCATCCTTTTCCGTCGACATAGTATCTTTGCATTCTTTCTTTCGTCTTCTCGATCTTCCCCTGCCTGGTTGCATGGGGCCCCGTCAGGAAAGATGCCTCCCAAAGGTTTCTTCTCGCGATTTCTCCCTGGCTCAAAGAGAGCATCCGAACCATCCCAGCCAGCGGGAACTCCAGGCAGGAAGCGAGATCGCGATGCCTCCTCACCGCCAGCTGCCTCGCAGCCAACCCCGAAGAAGCAGAAAGCGGCCTCGAGTCCTCATGCGTCCGATAACAAAGAGCTCGTCCGTGAAAAAGACTCGCACCGTGTCGAGCAACCCAGCGTCGTCGCCGAGAACGGTGTTCAGCAAACCCAAGACGGGAAGAAGAGTGCTGTCTCGGCGGATGGCAGCGAGACAAAACCAGAATCGACTCCTCGGACTAAGTCGCGTGGCTCAAAGAAGGAAAAGAAACTCATCATGCCGGATCTCGGAGTCGCTTCTGAACCGGTTCAAGCTGCTGCAGATCTGAAGAAGACGACGGAGCAGAAGCCCGAAGACAGCAATCAGACCGACCTGCTGGACGGGAAGGCCAACAGCTCGAAGGAATCCAAGAAACGCAAGAGGAAGCCGGAAGAAGAGGAGGAAAGTGAAGATTCTCTGAGTCAATCGATTACCAAGCATTCTAAGATTCGCTCGAGATTCGAAAAATCGAAAGCGATAAAGGAAGCCCTTGCTAAAGTGGGGAAAGAGGCAGAGACAAAGTCAGACGAAAAGATTAAAGATATTGGGGAACCAGTTGTCGCAGAAGGCCTTGAACCTCTTCCGCAGCCAGCTCCGGCCCCTGACACTGGGGAGAAGCCTACGTACTCATCTCTGCCCGCGTGGCTTTCCAACCCTATCAAGGCGTCTGTTGACAAGCGAGCCAAGTTTTCCGATTTGGGGATTGACGACAAGTTGGTCGGCATCCTCAAGGACCACGGATACGAGGAAGCATTTGCAGTGCAGACGACAGTCATTCCGCTTCTGCTGCAGACTCCGAACAGCCATCCGGGAGACCTGTGTATCTCTGCGGCGACTGGGTCAGGAAAGACGCTCGCTTACGTGCTACCTCTGGTGCAAGCGCTCGAGGCGACTCCAGCTCCGGTGCTGCGAGGTGTCATCGTCGTGCCCACCAGAGAGCTAGTCAAGCAGGCCCGGGAAGCCTGCGAGTTGTGCGCTATCGGTTCCGGGCTGCGGATTGGCACAGCGGTGGGCAATGTGGCTATCAAGGACGAACAACGCATGCTGATGCGAGTCGACTCGATTTACGACCCGGAAGCGTTTAGAGCGCGGGAGGAGCGGGCTATGACGGCCAAGGACTGGACCGAATTCAACCTCAGCGACTACATGACTGAAGCGGAGACGGTGGATGGGTCGTTGCACGGATACGTGAACAGGCCAGAACCGAATGTGGATATTCTAATCTGCACTCCGGGCCGTCTTGTCGACCACATTCGCTATACCAAGGGCTTTACGTTACGCCACGTGGAATGGCTGGTCGCAGACGAAGCGGATCGCCTTCTGAACGAGAGCTTCCAGGAATGGGTGGACGTGGTGATGAAATCGCTGGACGAGAGGAAGACTCTCCTAGCGGATGGATCAGCGAGCAAATTCCTTGCCGATTTGAATCTCCCGCTGGAGAAAAAGGAGCCGAGAAAGGTGGTGCTGAGCGCGACGCTGACGACCGATCTATCGAAATTGAACTCGCTGCGCCTCGTGAACCCGAAGCTGGTGGTGATCGGTGCGCCAAAGGTCGAGAAGAAGGAAGATCCAAATGAGCTGATTAAGGACACGGAGACCACGTTCACGCTGCCATCGACATTGAAGGAGTATAGTGTTTCCGTGGGCGACGGGTCCGAGAAGCCGCTGTATCTGCTGCAGCTGTTGCTGCATCATATCAAAGTGGAGACTGGCGAAAACGAAAACGCTGGAAAGGCTCGCGCGCAGTCAGAGAGTTCGTCTGATGACGAATCCAGTTCTGTGTCGTCCGATGAGGACTCGACTTCTGATTCCGACGGTGACTCGTCTTCTTCGTCGTCTTCGTCGTCGTCTTACTCAGAATCAGAATCCGACTTCGACTCCGAATCTGAGTCTGAGTCTGAATCTGACTCCTCATCTGACGAGTCCAGCGATTCTTCCAGCGATTCCTCCAGCGATTCCGATTCCTGGTCTATGTCGAGCGTCTCTGAAGATGAAGACAGTAGCAACAACAAATCCCCACGCACCACCGTCCTAGTGTTCACCAAATCCTCCGAAGCAGCAGCACGGCTCTCGCGGTTGCTCTGTCTAATGCACCCGCCTCTTGACTCCCAAATCGGGACGATCCTGAAATCGAACAAATCGTCCGCCTCGCGCCGCACGCTGCGCGCCTACCGCGCGGGATGGATCTCGATCATCGTCGCGACGGACCGCGCCGCGCGAGGTCTCGACCTACCGAACCTGACGCACGTCGTGAATTACGACATGCCGACCAGTGTCACTACGTACGTGCACCGCGTGGGGCGGACGGCGCGGGCTGGCAAGCACGGGACGGCATGGACGCTGGTCGCGCACCGCGAGGGGCGATGGTTCTCGCGGGAGATCGTCAAGGGGTCCGAGGGGAAGATTGTACGTGATGGTGCGGTTGAGAAGGTCCATGTCAAGCTGGACCAAGACGGCGACCAAGAGCGTCTGGAGCAGCTGAGAGGGGACTATGAAGCTGCGTTGGAGGAGTTGGCGATCGAAGTGAAGACGGACGGTAGGGCGCAGAAGAAGGAGAAGGAAAAGCAGAAGCAGAAGCAGAAGCAGAAGAAGAAGTAGGCTGGCCTGGTCTGGCCTGACCTAGACTATGCTATTCTCTGCCTGTGCCTATGGCCCGGATAGAGGAGCATCGATCATCGACCGATTCTACGCACTGACTACAGTACAGTACCTAATCTTGTGGACGAGCATGTATTCATGATGTATCTATGTAATGTTTGCATGTATGTATGTACCATAGAACACAATACAGCATAGCAGTAGTCAGCTGCTAGGTAGCTAGCATGCGAAGCGAAGACTATTGCTGTTTGCAACTGGAATGGTTGTATCAGACATTGCCCTTGTAAGTATACACATATTGGTCCAGTGTGTTGGACTATGAACCTCGATTAGGGCTGGTATCATCGACGATGATAACTTTAATTTATATATATTGTCAAATTTACATGACATGACGGAGACCATTCTCCTGTTGGAAAGCGATCCTAACTAACTAACCTGTTCACGTCCCATCATAAAAAAGGCCTTTATTTGATATGAGGCTGGTGTTCATTCATTCGCCTTGCACATACTTCCTCATGACGCCCTTAGTAGAAAGTAATATTAATAGATATTAGTTAACTTATAAGGCTAACTAGTTATAGATGATTATCTAAGACTACAGTAGTAGGAAGAAAGGTATTAGGAGAGAATTCCTAACCTCATAAATAAATTATAAGTAGTATTGTCTGAATTAGCTTATCCTAAAAGAGATGGAGGTTATAATATATATGTGAGTAAACAGTTTTTTTTTTAACTATGTCGTCACTACAACTATGTCGTCACTATTACTGTTCTTTTACAGAGGACACCGGTGATTATCTAACTAACTGCTTGAAGAGTAGATATGTACAGATGTCAAATGAATATGAGAGTGTGTAACTGTATTTATTGGCCAATGAGACTTTAAATAAGTAAGTATATTTCACAAGTTCAAAGAACTTCAGCAAAGCCCAAATTTAACCAGTCCCTCGACTGCATCTCATCCCATTCCTGTAGCAATGCCGCACGGTGGAAGCTTTTGGATTAAGTCTTCTTGTCTTCTGGTATGAAGGTATCCAGGCTATGAACGTAGCAGACCTTGCAAACATGATGTGCATCTTATATAAAATGATCCAAGATACGTACGTACCAAGGTGATTACAACAAATACATAAAGGAAACTCCATCCAGGCAAGGTTCTCATCCAGCAGGTGTGTTCATACGAATATTCGATCGATTATCGCCCCGGAGCCACTTGAAACTCTTCCGCGGCGTCATGTCCATAGTGAGAATTGGGACCATACTGCCTCTCAAGTTCATACAACGGCCTCGTATCCCGGCAATATCTTGTCTCAACGCCGCCATCGATGATCTTCACAAAAGTGCCATCATCTCGCGGTCCAGGCTGGAGCGTGACTCTCTCCAGCGTTCCATCGGCGAAGCACATGATTGACTGGATGGTTAGCATTAGCAATGTATTTATCCATTCTGACAGTCCTGGGAAGCACTCACTGAACGTAAATAATCAAAACAATGCGGCCAGTGGGCATCGTCGCGCCAGTCGACGCCAATGTCGATCCCTTCGCGCGCTTGCTGCAGGGCCAGACGCATTTTGGCCAGACAGTGCAGTTGATGGAACCTGTGCAGTTAGTCGTCAGTCGTCAGAAATGTTTTAATTTCTTGACTACAGGTCGAGAAACGTACATGCTGATACTCATCAACGTGCCGTTTTCTTCGCCATCCTCGGACGGCACGCGAATGTTGCCCGTCGCCATGAGAACGTGCTCCCGCCACAGATAATCCGCCTCGTGGTCCAGCGTCATGTATCGCAGGTCACGGTAGTACTTTGTCTCGATCAGGTTCTCCTTCTTCCACGTCTCGACGGGATGGGGGTAATTCTCGAGAGGAGACGTCGTGCGGCACGAGGCAAGGATCTCTGGTTTGGGGTTGTTTCTGTGGATGACGGTGCTGAGCAGCAGGAGGAGACTGCACACGGTCATGATGAGTGACCAGACTTTCCAGATTGGACTGTCGTTGGCGGGCCATTGCGGCCTGCACTTTCGGTGCTGCTTCAGCTGGAATCGTTGCTCTTCGTTGCCAGTCAAGGGAGAATCTTCGAGGTCGGAGACGGACGTGCGCGATGCGTTGCCATCGGCAATATCTTTCCCTGTGTCGTAGGGCATGAGGTTGCGATAGATCAAGGACTGGTATAGAGAATTCAGTGTCGAGAACGAGGTGAAGCGCTGAAGAGCATACTTCAAGGCAAGTGACTTCACTTGGACGAAGGCAATGAATCTGGGCGAGGGTCTACTCCCCGTCCCAATGTCGACAGGACAGCGAGCTGCAATGTAACCCAGCGTCTTTGTCTTTCTATACCGTCTTATTGCGATATTGCTGTCCGTGCGAGCTTCATGCATCTGCATCCGGCCCAGAGAAGCTTCCATCGTCGTGACAAAACCAAAAAAAACAGTACGAGTGCTCCTCTCGAGACGATTATTGGATCTCTTTTCGCTATCAGCCAAGATCCATCCCGTCCGGCATGGCGTACTTTTAGCTGAAGAAAGCAGAGCAAGCGTGAAGACAACGCACGCATGAAGATGACTCGAAAATGCGACAAGAGCGACGAATTATATCGAGATGCTATAGTACTTTTCTGTTGGTTACACACTCCAATTACATGGAGGTTTGTTAGATTGATCAATATCCTCAGCCCGGCTCATACGTCACTCGGTCGATACCCTCTCTCCTCTGCGGGGTAAGTTCAGCTGAAAAGTATCAATGCCACGACCCATGCCACGTGTGAGGCGAGTCAAATCGAGCCAAGCAATCTCTGCACGCATGTTCTTTGCTTGTTTCGCCATGTCAGATTATAGCGCATGGCGAGCTTATCGGGATCATCGCGCCATTGCAGACGATCACCTCTCGCAATTCGATCCGACACGCTGCTGCTGCAAGCCAGTCTAGATAAGCCGGAACGCCTAACGGTCTAGGCTTGAGTCTCTTCTTCCGTCTCTACTTCTTTAGTTGTATTTTTTTTGTCGCTCGTTACACGGCCGGTTATTCACCGCCGATCACATGCTAACCCTAAAAGCCCTAATGAGGCCGACTTGGATGATGCGTCTACCCCGGTGGATAGAACTCTTCTGGTGTATTTGCGCGATATTCCGCTAGAATGATGATCCAATGGGAAGAGACGGGTAGTGAAGGTCGATTGAGTGCGTGAGATGGTATTGCGATGGTGAAACATTGAATGGGATGTGATATCGTGACGGTTTCTTTGTGGTAACGTTCTATGGAACAGAGTCCTCTCGAGATGAAACTACGTTGAAATAAGGTAGAGAAAGATTGAATATATTTCCTACCGTGATCAATATACGAACTATTGGTAGATGATGTCTTCAGCTTGGTATACATATCGGGCTAAGATGAAATCTTCCCACTGAGATAGACAAGTCCGTGATCAAAATCGAGAACTACCAGCTCAATATTCCTAATCCGGCCCATCAAAAACAACACCATGTTTCCAAGGCCCTCTCCGCTCTCCCGCCACCAGCCCATCGTATCCCCCATCGCAATACCCGAAATGGGCCCCAAGCGGAAACGTATCCTTGTCCACGTCCGGCGGCGTGTCGCGGTAGCAGGCCGAATGGTCCGTGGCAAACTGCCGCAGCGTGTCCCAGTCCTGGCACTTGCGGTACTGCTCGTCGCCCGCCGTGTCGTCGCCAAACAGGTACAGCGGCGTGTTGTCCGCCTTGCACATCACGTATTGCCGCAGCATGTCGATGCAGTGGCCCGCATGCGGGGGTCGGAAGGTGTATTTCTCTGCGCGATGGATGGCTTCCCAGAAAGTTTTGCGGATGATTGTCTTGAATGTATTAGCTAGCTGGCGAAGAAAAGGCTGCATTATTTGAATGCTCACCACGCAGTGCAGCAGATGGTACGCTTCCAGAAGATAGACGTTCTTGCTGTCGTCGCTCGGCAGGTGCATGCTGTCAGGCCAATGCTGGGACTTGGCCCACTCGCGGTCGATGGCGATGAAGCCGTGAGCAGGGTTGATGGCGTCCCAGAGGGCGTCTGTCTCGGTGAAGTTCTTGTCGCTGTACTCGGTCCACCAGTTGAGCCGCATCCATTTGGTGGGGAGCGTGTCGACGCGAGCTATATACCATCAGCATTTCTGTCAGGAAAAGAAATAAAAGGTGAGAAAAACCCCATGAGTCAGGCGTATACACCGGATCCACCGCATCGACCTTCGAGGCAAGATGTCTCGTCACGAGAAGAGCAACCAGGGTGGTGGCATTGGTGGATAGCAGCAGGAGGATCACAAACGCCCTCCAGAACCGGCCTGATTTCTTCGTCGACGGCCTCACGAAGAGAGCTTTCTCGTCGCCGTCGCCCTCGTCACTCGGCCAGGAGGCTCCGTCGCGAAGAGCGGTGTACACCGTTCTGTCTCGTTCTACGTAGGGGAACTTTTTTGAGCCGAAACTAAGGCCGAACATGTTGACAGGAGTATGAGAATGAGATACAGATTGAAGAGAAAGAAGAAAGGAAGGTGAAAATCGCAAGTCCGTCGAAGAAGACGAGACGTGCGGACGGTAAATGTGAACTTCCTGGTGTTGCATTCGGTCAGAAAGGAAGGGAATGCCATGACGTTCGCTTCTTAGCTGCACATGTTAGCGTGCTCGAAAACAGGAAGCATGGAGTCGACAATCGAGCACGGCTTGAACACGGAGATAGTCAGGTAGCATCATTCCTGACAGTTGCTGCGGAGTGATGGTGTAGGACAAGCTAGCCTCTATACCCCTGTGCTGCATAAAGTGGTCTTAGTACCAATAAGGATGCGAATATGAAAACGTGGATTGTTGGAGTCGCACGAGGATCTG